GGCCGTAGCTATCCGTGTATATTCTTATGCGGTGTTTCGTCTTCATTCTTGTTTTAGATTGCTGGTTAGGCTGTGACGTGCGACTAATTTCTTTCTCTCCTACGATTTCCAAATCTGCCTGCAGCCGACTCGTTCCCCTCCAATCGCCTTCCTCGGTTTCTTCTAGTGCACTGAAACTGTTCGTTAAGGGTAATTCGAACGCTTTTTCGCTACAACGTGACATGCCCTTGCTTGTCACTTTGTCCCAAACCTTGCTAGGGGCATGGTTTTTCCCGTCTCTCGCGTCGGCATCACGTATTCTAATAATAACAATATTATAAACATTTAATTTTAAATAATACTAATTTCACATGTGACCAAAGAATATATTTTCTTGCAATGCACTTCCCATACTATCTCACAATATGTCAAGTTTATTCGAAAATTTTTACATGTATTTGTTTCACACCAAAGGGAACTTATTGTGTGTAAGAGAATTGAGTTCTAAAAGAAATTTAATCCCTTGTTTCAAATGGCTGTAGTTCTTGTTCAGGTTTTCACTGTATTTACTTCATTAATTTCTGACCTTAACCGGGCATAAACAGAATAAATAGGTATAGTTGTAGGTGTAAAACTGTAATAACTTGTGCAGACTACATTTTTGGAACACATTTTGTACAACAATACCACATATGTTTGTTCAACACCTGCTTAGTATCCTCATGCAAAGTTCATGGCTATGTTTTCTATGCATTTCCTCTAGTCTTTCTCAAAAGTTCTGCAATATTTTCAATGTATGTAAAACATTGACACATGGCATTTTTGTGATTGTCTCCCAAAATTCACAATTTTGCTTTTGTTCGGTTTTCATGCAATGTACTGTGCATATACATCAGAGTTTCGAAGGTAAACGCGGCACGTCAGTTCTATTCCTCTGGCGCATAATATTGGCACAGTTTGTAAAGGTATCTTTTCACAATAAAGCAGAATAATTTTTTACAAGAAAGCAGTGAAATATGCCGTTGATATCTTTCCAAACCCCTCTTATTATTTCGAAAACCATGAAACAAGTCAGTGTTTAAAAAAACTGAGAATATCTGACCACACCATTACCATCTGGAGCCTGAAATGCCTTCCTGTACACAAAAAATATGTTTTATATTCAACCATGTCTCTTTCTCTATTATCATTCAACCATTGTATGATAAAAATGTTTTCCTTCATGTGATAATTTTCTTTTCGAAACTTAGTTGTGTATTTGCTACAGTAACAAAACAATAAATGAATTTGTATCTATTGAACATGAGGACTTAAAGAAAGATGAAAACATAGAAGAAAAGAACGGTTGCATATTTCTTCAGAAGGCATCTGAAGTACTAGGACACACATTTAAATAATTGTGGCGTTGAAATATATGAAACAAAATCTTACGGGGACAGTATACAATGAGTTGAAATGACGCTTCCTGGGTGTGTTGGGTAAATTTCATTATTTTTCATGAAATATGTTTTTTACATGTTTTAATTTTTAACATGCTGTTTAATAAATTAAAATGAAGAAAAGTCGCAAAATTATGAAATACTATCTTCAAAAACGAAGAAGGTACAAGGACATAAAGATCGCCAGGAGTCAAAATACTGCCTCTGGGCATTCTAGTGTCAAATAATTCATTGGAAAAACCTACTTTTTTATCTGCAGTTTTATTACTTGCGGTTATACCTGGGGTTAGAGCTAATAAAATACTCTTGTATAACTCTGCAATAAATTAAACGGTTATAGCAGATAACATAGTCTTACAAGAGTTCTTTACTTGCCTAGAATAAAAATAAAGAAAAAATTGCTGATCCTTAATGCAACTGTATGAATAGTTAGTGTTTAATGATGAGGCAGTCTCCTTATATCCTTGCTGTGCTTCATGTCAGCCTAGCCTTAAGGAGTAAAGCACTGACGATGAGAATTCAGTCAGCACATGCATTATGAGAATAAGGAAGTTAACGCAATCAAATAGTGCATTTTTTTTTTCAGTCCAGTGTTTCTTTCTTTTATATTTGCCCTGGTTATGTAACTAAACCATTGACACCTTTCACAAGGTTGAAGGGTACGTATATTTCTGTCAATGTGTGTGTATATTCAAAAACAATAACATAGATATTTGTGTTCTTTCAGATTTTGTGTATCAACTGTGCTTTCTTCTCATGGGTGGTCTTTAACAAATGAGGGCCAGCTGAGTGAAGGGAACGTGAGCAGAAGTTGAGAAGTATGCATGCTGCTTGATGATAGTGTTGAATGAAAATGGAGTTTTTGTGTTACATTAAAACCTGGGAGATGGAACTTCCTAACAAGGGAATTATTAGTGCGAGACAAGAATTGTCAGATTAAACTGGTTTTATTATTGGAAACAACCTCCAAATCAGAAACAAAATGGTTCGTAGTGAACTGCTAGCACGTTTATCTTATATTGTGTGAAGTTTTCAATTTCAATTAACCAAATGTTACATTTTCCTGTTTTCTGAAGCAGTTGACTCTTTTGGAATGACTTTCTGGAAAATATAATGTGAACACTCACCTTTCCATATGTTACACAATGAAGTTTTGACAACTTAAAACTTGAAAACTTTTTAGGAACAATCAAGATCCATTTTAGACAGGTTTTAGTGTAATTGCTGTACTCCAGATCCTTCTTTAGTACTGCCAGCAAGCAGTACACAGTGCATTGTTTGCAAACCCACAAACTTTTGCTTAGGGTGGGAGAGTTTCATGCCTACTTCAAAATTAGTAGGATTTTGCTTGCTGTATATAGCAGTACTAATCCTTGTTTAGAAATATGGCAATGGAAAGAAACTAAACATCCACAATAATACTTAATCTTGAACAGAGTTGTTGAGAAATGTAACTCTACGAACTAACATTTTTAAGTTGGTCACTGTTTAATAATTTTAAAGTAGAACTAAATCATCAAACTTCACTGCTTTTTAATTAGGATGTTGAGCATCTCAATCAATATTGTAACTAAGCTTCGTCAAATATTGTACTGTAATACTATATTGAATTGAGAACGACTACAGTTCTTATAGCTTTCATTTCACTGCAAGTCATAAATAAATTAAATATTTTGATTTGTGTACTGAGAATGCTGTAATGATATTCTGATCATTGCATTGTTATTGGCATCATGGTAAAACCAGCTGTGTATTCAAATAATTTATCTGTATTTCCTGAAGTAGTCTCTTTTCAAACTCTCCCTAATTACAATACATATTAATTTTCTTGACAATCTTGTAACTTGAAATCAACTTAACAACTTCCCATAGCCTTCTTTCTTGACCTCTACATGAAAAACAAAATGGAAAGTTCAGAAACTTGACCACGGATTTTGTAACAGAAAATATCATCTAAATAATTTGAAGACCTACTGGGGCAATTCACATTACAGTGAAATCAGGTTTAATATTATATGGATTTTTACTAGTATTATATCGTTAAAAGGAAAGTTTTCTAAATGTCCACAAGTCATCTGAAAAGGTGGATTTATTATTTTTACTCTCTTGGCCAAGAAATTGACCGTGATTGTCATACGTTTGTTTAGTAAATATATCCTGCATTTCGAAACAGTTTTGATAATGGAATTTTGTTCTAAGTATCCTGTATCCTGAATTTCACACCCGGTAGAGTGCGTTCCCAGCAGGCCAAAGCAATGGGTTATGGCTAGCTTCTTCAGCAGGTATACTACTGTGCATACATACTTCTAATTTCTGTGTAACTGTTTTTATTGTCTTGTTTACTTTGTTTAGCGTTTATTTATTTTTAATTTAGCCATTTTGTTTTATACTTGTTTGTCCACAAGCTTTTGGCAATGATTTTCAAATTGTGTACACTGCAGTATTACCATAGATACTCGAACAAACCTCGCCATCAAATATTACCCTAATTTTATGGAAGTAATCTAAAAGGGTAAGAGTTTTTGCATTTTTTTCACTTTTATTACAACTTATGTTTTCACTTACCTTCACTTTTTTCACTTATATTTAACACTCTTTAACAAATGTATCGGTATCCTGCAATTTTCTTAATTATGTTACTTCATTACTGAAAGATTTTACTTTCTTTATATGTGCAACAAAATTTTTTATAATTGTCTCCCTTACACTCTTCAAAAAAACATAATTCCCCATTTTTATGATTTCTTCACAATTAAGTTTAAAGATTAATGCATTATAATTCCAAAAATACATATTTTTTTAAAAAATTAAATTTTTAAATATGTTAATTTGCCTAACAAAATGGCAGCTACAACATGTGGAGGCACTTAGTTTTCATGATTAAAAACATAATTTTTTAAATTTTGCTGAAATTCTTATTTACACCTGTAGAAATATACATTGGCGACAACTTAAAGCAACAATAGGAATGATTGTACATGAATTAGTATTTTTATTTGTTTTTATTTCAGACGGATGGAATTATACATATTTTCACCTATAATTATTTTTTATTTCTGAAATGTGGAGAATGACAATGTTGAAAAAGGTTCAATCTGTAGCTATTAGTATCTTGAATATATCCTGAAAATTTGAGAGACATCACAACATTAGAAAAAAAGTTATTCTTAAAACCAATATAAAAATTTACTTTTCCAGATAATTAAGTTTAAAGATTGAGTAACGTGTTCAATTACCTCTGAATTTTTTCTGACCATTAAAATGCACCAGGAGCAATAGGAAACTTCTTCTGGTTTTTGTTTCTTAGCTTCTTCTATTAATTTTAATTTTTTTCTGGATTTTCTTGCCTCATTTGTTGCCTGGGATGCTCTTTTTTCAGCAGATGTAATTCTTGCGCAGTCTTCATTCTTCACAGCATTGCTCATATTTTTGCCTACAGGTATCTGAAGTCTTTCCAAAACCTTTAATGTCCCTATCATTCCATCATTGAAGGTAATAATTGCATCATTTGTTCCAATGCCTACAATTCTCTTTCCAAACAATCCTGTCTTGGGGCAAAGGTTCCAAATTTTGGAATGAAATGATTCATTGGCATTTTGCGTGTAACCACCAACACATTTTGAAAGGAGCTTTGTGTTACATAAATCTTGAAACACAGGTTTAATGGCTTCCATAATTGCTAATGGGATATTATTTTTGTGCTTATAATTTGCTAATGCACCTGACTGCTTTGCACGTTGATACGGGCACCAAGACTTTCCTCTTTTGGGACATGCATTGGCTTTTCATCACTGGATGCTTTGTGAAACCATATGGACCAAACTGCTTTTTGCATGTCTTTCACTGATGAGCTGTTATCTCAAATTGCATTTCCATAATATGTGCTGAGGGTATTAATTACAGCATCTGTAAATCTGTTTCTTCCTGATATTTTTTTCCCATCTGTGAGGGTTTTTCCTTTATATTCTTCCTTCATTTTTCTCAGTCTTGTGCCCATCCATTTCTGCACATGCCCTACACATTCTAATTTTGTAATAGGAAGATTTGATCCATATGGTTTCAAGTCTGCCACAGCTTTAAATTCTTGCATCACATCTCCAATAAATTAATGTACTTTGTTTTATGTTTCACTCTGACTAAAAAAAAAAAAAATCTTCGTCCTTCAACTTCCATTTTTTCCCAGAGTTTTCGGATGGTTATAGGCGCAAAATCAGTATGCTCTCATCCATTCTATATACTAATTGTGTTTTGTGGGTCGTCGGGGAGTAAACACAACACGGACGTTGTTTAGTACATTTTATTGACAAGTTTTCATACACTATATACACACTCCTCGAAACGCGCTGCAACTCCAGACTGCAATCTTTGAGGATCCCCGCCCCAGCTACGCAACCCCAGGCTTGCCCGCTCCCTGCCTTTTGTCCCGTGGCAACCGCCACAACTCGCAATGCCGAAGCTCCGCAGATAACCCTGGCGGTGAAATGTGCCTTCCGCACCCATCCGGTTCAAACTCGAATGACCACGGCTGGTTACCCTCCAGCCGCCTCGCGAGGGGTCACGTGACAGACCTCGCATGCCGGCGGCGTCCTCTCATCCCGAAACGTGGGCGTGTTTGCAATTTTGGAGTCCAGCTGCACCGCGGCTGGACTCACCCATCGTTTCCCTCTGCGCCAGTTGACACCTACGTTCCGAGACACGCCCACCCAGGCCCTTGAGGAGGGGCCCACCTCTGGTGGCCTTCCGCTTGCCGCCAAAGGACTGCCCCCGCCCCCTCGCTGGCCCTCCGACATGTGTTGTCCATCTGGCCCCTTGGCACGACGTTACACTTTCTTGGTTTTCCAAAATTGACATGATTTACAGTTTACTGAGAGCACTTCAGTATCTAACACTTTCGCTGATTTTAAACCAATGACAGCAGGGACACCATGCTCGGATGTGTGACACCTCTTTAACCAGGATCCATCACATGATACTGATATCATGTTACTATTTGTAAGTGATTTTTCTTCACTTGCTGCTTTCATCATTGATTATTGTGCAACTGAATTGGTTGCACTATGAATTTTATCTACTATGTTGTAAGTGGATTATTTTACTGGCGAAGGAAAGTTCATCATAGCACAAAACTGCTTAATGCCTGCTAATCCCTGCCCTATACACCTTATGGCATAAATACTTTGCCTGTTTATCAAATAAACTCTTTTCTTTGCCCCTAACTTCACACTATTCCTAATGCACCCAATGTTATCGCAATTCTCACACAATATATCCACTTTACAACCTAATCCTAACACGGACATAATTAAATTAATATTTCCACCACGTATATTACATCGAAGACAAGGTTTTATTTCACAAAACAGCAGGTCTACGTCGAAAATCATATTCCCTAGGTTTTTAGTTTCCGGGGGTATACACTGTAGGTTCGCTGAATATTCTTGAAGAAGCACTTGTATTTAAACGTGAATTATTAGTTTGTGCCTCTTCTTTAGTAAACTGATTGTTAGAAAATGCTCTCTTTAGTGTAATACGTTGATTTTCTCTTTCCCATCTTGAAACACACCAAAAACAATACTAACATGTGCTATACAATCGCAAACACTGGAAAAAACGCAAACATCTGTTATATCACAGCCTGCGATGGTCTTCTGTTATTTCAGTATGAGAAATTTACCGTGCCAAATTCAAATAAATTCATTGTAAATTAAATAGTAAGTAGCGTGTTGTTAGTGTTCAGGAGTGGGCGTGACATGTGCCAGTATTTAAATACCTGTCAGGCACGCAGCACGTAGAGTAAACCTTCATAACTTCTGAACTAAAGGAGATATAAATATACTGTTTTCACTGAAATTAAGATCAATATATACACTTTTTAAACAAATAAAAAACAAAAATTCGATTTTTCAACCCTTATAACTGTAACTACCCCCTTAATAGAACAGTTCTGGATATCTTTGATTAGTCGAAGGTAACCACTGATAAATGGTTCTTGTGGTTATCAAGAACGACAAGATGTGGTTCGTTTTGTGATGGATACGCATATTATGAAAAATGCTGTAGGTATTTTACAAACTTAGCATGATTTGACCAGACACTCGGGTTAGCTGCTCATTGAATTAGGGCCATCTCCATCTCTAATCATGATCGTGGTCTAGTTAAGGTGTACCTGGGCCTCCATCATTTTCCTTGGTCTACCAGGGTCTCCTGTCCTCTTGGTATGTAGTTCATTACTACCTGTGTGGTTCCATTCTTCTTATGTTCTTGCCATATTGCCTGGTATTTCTCTATTTCAGTGACCACATTTTTTTGTTTTCAGTTTTTTCTGTATTTCCTTATTTTGTCTTTTTCTAATCATGTCCTTAAACTTGACTCCTGGGCAAAATAAAGAATGGAGGAACTTGCATCTGCATTTATCACTCCAATTATTGTCACAGTATGTCCCCGTTCCGAAGATGTCATGGTCCCTATCTGTTTAGCACCTTTTTCAGCCAGAACTTAGGGTGGCACATGAACTGCAAATAGTCCTGGCTTTTACATTCCAAATTTGATGCGGCTCAAATTTATTCTTTTCGAGAAATCTCTCAATTTCCAAAAAATTCCTCAACTGTACTTATAAATCTTGAAAATTTGAGATAGATCACTACATTAGAAAAGATGTATTCCTTAAACCATTATAAAAATTTGCGTTTCCTGAAATTTAAGTTTAAAGATATAAATGTTGCTCTGAATTTTTTTCCGATCATTAAAATGTACCAGGAGCATAGGAACCTTTTTCAGGATTTTCTTGCCTCTTTTGTTGCCTGGGATGCTCTTACTTCAGCAGACCTGATTCACAGCCTTTTCATATTTTTGCCTATATGGAATCTTTCCAAAACTTTCAATCTCCCTATCATTCCTTCGTTGAAACTAATTACTGCATCCTTTGTGTCATTGTCCACTCTTTCCAAAATATCCTGTCTTAGGGAAAATTTCCAAATTTTGGAATGAAAAAATTCATTGGAATTTTGGGTGTAACCACCAACTCGTTTTGATAAGATTTGTATTACATAAATCTGAGAATACAGGTTCAATGGGTTGCATGGGTCTCATTCGTAACAGCACGCTAGGATGTTAATGAGTCTTCCTCACTACGTGCTTTGAAGTTTCCTGATTCCAGCTTTGTCTCTGTGGAAAGCCGAAACGTACCGAATTGAACCCGGAAATTATTTTTCCAGTGCACTGCTTTTACTTTCACTAAAGTCAATCTTAAAGAACGTTGGCTTCCACTGCAAATTCTTTCGCCTTTTAAATTGAAGGACTCCTTGATGAGAAATTGTCTCTCCCTGGACTACGAAAGTCTGTTACCCCCATACCCAACATTTGTATTTCTGTTGTAAATGTAATATTTGTCTGCATTTTTACAAAAATGATGCATTTCTCTGATAAAACCAGCATAAATAAAATGGTGTACAAGTTATAACTAAAGAACAAATAAATTAGGCTCCAGGGTCCAACGTATTCTAAGTAAAGCAATTAATTAAAAAGAAGTAGGTTTCAAAATGAACTATTCTTAAAACTAAATCTATTAAATATAACAAGATAACTACCTAACTAATTTACTGAAACCTACTTCTTTTCAAAGTTGTTGTGACCCTCGCACCTAACTCATTTACCGCATACTTGCTCAGCAACGGTTTTATTAAATTTTGTATCTCAGAGCAATGCTCTTTACAGCCAAACAATTGAAAATCTGAATTTTGACAATTTTCAAGTTCCTCAAGAAGTTTTTGTGTGTGCCCTTTGATTTCTAAAAATTTGAAGATTTTCAAAGAAATCTCCCAGAATGATTTATCAACAATATCCTTTGGTTTGGAACATGCGCACACAACATTACTTCCCTCATGCGGAGGAGAATGGTGGCAATAGATAAAGGACACAAAACAAGAATGGCAGGACTTCAGATTGGGAATTTTGTTAAGAATTTTACTTGTTTTGCTTGTTGCCTTGGCACTGTGGCGATCCAGGCACGTGTCTCCACTTCCTCTCCCCCTATCAAGAAAGGTGAATTGTCAACATCACAGACATGAGTGTCTGTTGCTCCTACACTCCCAATCTTGCTCACAAATTCGCGCAAATTAGATAAAACATCTGCATCATCTTTCTCGCAGTTAAATTTACCATTGGCACCAATCATCCCATTCAAAATACATTATTTCAAAGCCGAATCAAACTGCAGACTAGTAGGGGACAGCGAATACCACGCTGCTTCACAACACCGAAGAGATTCTCAAGTGGATCTTGGTTGAGATGTCGAGTTGCCAACAATGTCACTCCCAAGTCTCCGAGCATTCTCCACAACGAAGAAACACCGTCGATATTTCGACACCATGCCTCCTTCACCTTAGAGCGAGTAGACTTGCCATCTGCAACAAACTGCCATGAATCCAGTTTCCTTTTCATATACTACCAAAATTCTAAATGCTGAGATGTGTGACTCAGTGGTCTTCTATAAATGTGAGTGTCATCCAATTTCAAACCGTTAAAAGAATCAGAGACGAGTGATGTCATTAATAAATTCAGCCAAATACTTGGCCCCTTCCACACCGCATTTATATAGTGCATTAGCAACAGTTACCCTCAAAATCTGAGCAGCTAACTTCACTTTCATTTTCCTTTTTCGATAAATATGTTCATT